AATAAACAATTATATAAAAGTGTACTAGGGTTAAGAAATTATCTTTGTTTAAGGGTCGATCTTTTCACCTCTGAGTAAAGTTACACTGTTACATGTAAGTTTACTTTACAGTTTAATCAGCAAATAGGTAGTTACTTTTAACTTGGTGAGAAGACAGGCCCAAAATAATTATTACAACCGTAATTTGGAAATAAACATAACCACACAAATAATAGTATTTTTTTACCAGAGACATTTTTCGGTAACAATCGTTGAATTGACACACATACTTCCTTTATTAAAGTCGCACTTTTATTTTAACTTAATTTTGTGATATGACAAGTGGAGGCACTTCGCGTCATATTTTGATTAATTTTAAGTTCATAATTTTATATTTATAGATTGACGGAATGAAAATGTTTTTATATCATTTAAATTACGCTATTTAAAAAAAATGACATTTATTATCACCAAAACTGACTAGCTCGAGTTTGACATAGTTCGTAAAAGAGTAATGCAAAAGTGAGACACGTTTAGTACCATCATTGCTTCTCTATATCTATGATTTGAAAGATTGGTATGGTCCCGCCCTACTTTGTGACATCACGGCGTGCGTTGCGCAAATTAGGCCGATTTAAGTTATTTTATAACTGTTTCACTAAGAATATGAGATAGAAGAGGGAGATTTACCTAACTTGAAGCCACTCCAAATTCTACAATTCCTTGAGAAGATAGGATTGGAAGGGTCATTATAGGCATTGAGACATTTCCTTGGTGCATTTGCGACAGAAGGAGGCACAATAGATCTTTTAGGTCCCAGTGTATTAACACCCCATTCCCAACATAACATAACTGTTTCACTACGTTTCAGGGATTTGTTATCGTATGACATCTCTTTTTAGCTAAAGATTTTCAAGAACGCCTCTCACTCCTTCTGGTTCACTTATAAAAGCGCGCCACGAAAATGCGATTAGCCAGAGCGCAGTGGCGTACCCAAAATAGATATTAACACGTATGAAAACAATAAAATTATTAAAATTGAATTAATATTTATGTTTAAAATAATGTGTTTTAATGAAATGTAACTGCACAAATGAACCAATAGAGAAACCGCCCATGCACAAAACATAAATGCAAAACAATAAAAATATGATAGCATATTATTTATCGCTTAATGTTAATGTTTTCGCGCATTTTGCTCAAAATTTTAAAATCAAAAGCAATATTTTTAAAAAGCACCTCCCTAATAATAGTGTTTGGGGCTGCACAAAAGAGTATGGCTAATATAGACCATAAATATTATAGTTCGTTGAAGTCAACTTATTTAGGAGCTTTTTAAAATATAAAATGATACTGGGTATCGACAGTGCTAGATTTACGTGAATCACCCTGTATATTTATATTTTCTTTCGGAGAACATACAATTTAGTTTAAAAGTTGACGTGTCCCAGCGTTTTTATGTTTTCCAAAAAAGGATCAAAAATAGTTTCCACATTTTATGAATAATAAATTTGTAATTATTATTTTAGGTGTTACATAATTTTATAGGCGACTGTCATAAAAAATTACATTTTACTGATTTAATAACTTTCCTAAAGAAGTGTCACTTTTTTGGCCGCATTTACTGTACGGCCGCTTTAAAGGTTTATCATACTTATCGTTAGTAATTCTGTACAAATTTTATTAACTAAAGATGGATTTTTATTCGATCAGTAAAAAATTTGAAACAATTTTTGCATTTAACCCTCTTTCCAAACACAAGAATATAATAAAAATATTGGCTTTATTGATGAGACAGTCGCCTAAAAAATGTTGCGTGTACCTCGGCCGTACGATCTTTCTTTCGGCCTAACCAGAAGATGCTTGGTTTCTGCCGCAAATTTCTGATTTGACCAAAAAAGAACAACTTTACGGCCTTGGTACATAAACATCTATTTTAAATATATACAGAACTAATCACATACATTTTCCACAAACACACATCTTACTAGAAACATTTTTTTATATAATCATTGCCAACGAAATTACTGAAAAATTAAAATCATGATTCTTATACATTCTTTCTGTATACAGACAGGAAAGTAAAAATTACTCACCCTATATAATTGTTTTCAAAAACGATTGCTATTGCATTTTGATAGTCAAAAATAACTTAGTGAGTGAAACCGTTTCTTTTAATATTTATGAATATCAGCAAAATAACAACTTTTACGTCTTAGGTTATTTTTTTATTTTTTTAATTATGAGAATTCGCAAGTTTTTATCCTAAAAACTAGCCATAGGAAAATTTTAATTATGAGATAAAAAATTCCAACATATATCATATTCAGCGGATTCGACCGAAACACATTTGCTCTAAGAAATCGTTTTTATTTAGTTTTAAAATTACTCATTTTTTGAAATAGAATAATTTTCTTCCTATTTTCATTAGTTCTCGGATCTTTAACCAACGATCACTTTTAGTGAGTTTTATCACCCCGTATATTTTAACAAACTTCAGGAAATGATTCTTTGAGTAATTTTAAGGTAAAAAGTTCATATAAACAAGTGTCCGGATGGTTTTCAAGATACAGGGTGTTAAAGTTTTAAGAAAAAAAATCGTTTTTTTATCATATCTTTCATACCACTGAAGATAATTTAATGAAATTTGGTACACGTTGTTTTACCATAAAGTAACATTTTTGATGCTATTAACTTTTTTTATTTTCATCAGTGGCGTCCCTACGGTATTTAAACTAAATATTATTGAAGAAAAAATGGTACACCACTGGTTTTTTAAAGAATAAAAATTATTTTTAAAATCTACATTTAATTTGGAAAAAATTTGATCTTTTGACTTTTGTTCGTAAGACGCACCGTTTTCGCGTAAAAAAATTTTGTACAATGTCGGTAGAAATGCAAATCAATATCCGGAGGGTGAAAATCAGTAGTTTTTAAACAAAATATGCAATATGCAAGAAATATCAGCATTTGATTTCAAGAAATTTTAAATAAAATAAAATTAAATTAAATAAACGAAATTAAACTATATTCAAATAAATTGTTGAAAGTGCAGCGAAGATACAGGCATTCAATCTTCTAGTCATTGAATCTCGTACTCGCTCAAAAATTATTGGTGTGTTTCTTATTCTTTCACAGGCGTCTATTATTCGGTTTCTTAGTTCTTCCTCGTTTGCCACTGGAGTTTTATAAACTAATGACTTCATATGTCCCGAAAAATAAAAATCTAGCGGGTTTAGATCTGGGGACCTTGGTGCCCACGCCTGGTTAGGTTCTTCTACACCCTACCGATCCATCGATTTGGATAGACAGTGTTAAGGAATTTCCTGGCTACAACGCTGAAATGGGCCGGAGCCCCATCATGCATAAACCACATGCGGATACGATTTTCTAAAGGTACATTCTGAAGTAATCCCGGCAATTCGTTTCCTAGAAAGTGTCTGTAAGTTTCTCCATCCAGTCGGAGCGGAAGAAAGAAAGGGCTTATCAAATAATCATCAATTATTCCCTCCCATACATTTACAGAAAATTGATACTGAGAATGCCTTTCACTAATTGCGTGCGGATTTTCTAGAGCCCACACATGATTGTTATGAAAGTTTGTGATAGTATTTTTGGAGAAATTTGCCTCGTCCGTGAAAAGTACATATCTTAAAAATTGAGGATTTTCAGCCAATTTCCTCAAAAAACACTGACACATATTAATGCGTTGAGGAAAGTCTCGTGGCAAAAGAGACTGAATATAGTATGGATACAATTGTTGATCGTGGATAATTCTCCAAACTGTGGACTGAGTAGAATTGAGAGCTTCAGTAATTATTCTTGTACTTGTTTCTGAATTCTCCTCGACAGCGTTCAAAACAGCTTCTTCCAATTCTGGGGTTCGGACTGCACGTGGTCTTCCAACAATATCAGCTGCCCTCTTAAAGCTACCTGTTTCGGCCAAACGACGGCGCATTGCCATCCGCAAGGCCATAAACAAAATGCATGTCGGTTAAATAGGCATTATTGTCTAAATAATCCATTTTTCTAAATGATTGTTTTAAAATTTACAGAAACTTCACCAATTCAATGATAAAGCCAAAAAACTTTACGAGGAGTGTTTAACTGTCACATAATGTGTTGTTACCATAAATACTAACCTAAATGTCAAATTCATTTTTAGGCACGCTTGTAAAAACAAAATAATGCTGATAACTTCAACATGCATCGATTATTAAGTAATCGACTTGAATATTTCAAGTCCAAATATCTAGAAAACGTAACGACTTCTAGCAAGGGTAGCTTTTTTACATAAATTTTAGTTTTAGTCATGTATGAAAATGGTTTTTATTTTTTTACGTGAAAACGGTGCGTCTTACGAACAAAATTTTAGAAATCAAATTTGTTGCAAATTAAATGTAGATTTTAAAAATAATTTTTATTTTTTAAAAAACCAGTGACGTACCATTTTTTTCTTTAATAATATTTAGTTTAAATACCGTAGGGACGCCACTGATGAAAATAAAGAAAAGTTAATAGCATCAGAAAATGTCATTTTATGGTAAAACAACGTGTACCAAATTTCATTAAGTTATCTTCAGTGGTATGAAAGATGATAAAAAAAACGATTTTTTTTTTCCTAAAACTTTAACACCCTATATCTTGAAAACCATCCATTTCCGGACATATGTTTACATGAACTTTTTACCTTAAAATTACTCAAAGAATCATTTCCTGAAGTTTGTCAAAGTACTTATGAATCACCCTGTATATACCTAATTATTTTTTGCAACTCTCTGCTTTTTTAGTTACATAATCGGTACTCCGATTCTCTGATAATAATTCAGTGATATGCAGATGCTATTAAAATTTTCTATTTTCATTAAAAAAAGTATTCTATTTCAGTTTCAAACCACCGAATGACAATGCATTGGCGCAAATTCATAATTATAAAATTTAAGTTTGTGTCATCCAATCTAATTTACATAATTGTTATTTTTATTTATTTATTTTTTTGTTACAGGACACAACGGCTCAAAATGTTTTGCTCAATGTGCGCCCGAAATGGACGAGGGCGCTATGTAACAAAAGTGCTGTCGCTTGGTATTTTTTGGGCTTTGATTGTGTATACTCTCTACCAATTTCGATCTATAACCATCGATGTACCAGTGCCACATCTTAACAGCAGGTTAGTGTGTTTTAAGTAAATATTAAAAATGATCGAGGCCCTTTACCTATGAGGTCTCAGTATTACATGCACGCAGACAAAAAATGTTTCTAACCTACGTTTCCTACCATTCTAAGACGATGATAACTATAAAACAAAGGCTTGCGGTGTTGATTTTCTTCGACATTTCCTCTAAATGGTTTAACTTTAGTTCTTCAAATAATTGAATATTTTTAAAATTTCTTATGGAGCTTGTTTTTATGCCCTGAAAGAAAAGTATTAATTTCAATATTATGGATTGTGATGCTTATCAACTGAGAAACAAGCAGTGACATTCTCATCTTTTAATACGGCACGTGTTGAGAAGCTTCTATCTTCGTTCGACAGGATGTGATTCTTATGTAATGTCTCTCTCTATTCAATACGTAACGTGTTGAGTTCGCACATAAGAATCCCTGTTTAAATATTTTTTTTCTATATTGCTGTTACTCTTAAATATCAAATAATTTTTTAATAAAATAAAGTAAATAAAACAAAGCCACATGTCACGCAAAATACAAACGACGGTTTCCCTTCGCAAAACAACTACTACTGTAGCTAATACCGCAACAGGTATTGAATTATATCCAAGTAAGTAAAATCAAAGTTTGCTTGTGGTTGCATTTCCATATATTGCCCATATAGGTTTAATATGTCTTCTGAATCAAAAATGAACTTAAAATATATTTTTTCTACACCCACATGGATATTATTAGCTTGTCTACGCACAGATTACAGAACGAAAAAGTATGCTATTGCCTTCAACTGAACGAATATATTTCATATCCATTCTAGGTAGTGAGAACATTGTAAAAAAATAAAATCCACCAATCGCCATTCATATTTTGATCGACCGACTGCTATTATTTTTAAAATTTTAAATAAGTGACAATTCTGTCAAATTAATTGTCAATATATTTTTTAGTTATTAAAATGCGTTATTCTTGTGTATAATCTATAATTATAAATTATAAATCTATAATTATAAATATTTTGTTAATTTAAATAAAATTATATGAAGTCAATTTAATTGCGAGTATAAAAGCAACAAAAATAAAAGAATAGGTGGTCCAGGTGTAGGCGTTCTTGCCTTCCCCATGGGAGACTCGAGTTCGATTATCGGATGGGGAAAAATGAAATTACCTTTTTCTTTTTTCTTTTCTTTTAAAAAATATTAAAAGTCATAAATTATTTTAAAATTAGTTATTTTGTCTTAATAACCTAAAATATTTTTTATTTGTAAATTTTCGTTAGTGGGTCTTAAAAAAAAGTCTGTATCGTTAATAAACCAAATCCTTCTGAACAAATTAAGGTATTTTTCGCGGCATAAACCAACATAAATGTTTATGATAGTTTATGCCGCGAAAAATACCTTATTGTTTAAAACCCGGACAATCCGGGTTAGACTCATACAGGTGGCTTCCCTACGAACCGGCCGGATTAACCACTCGATCATTAATTGTTGGGTTTTAATTAACAGTGCTGTTCCGAAAGTGGCGCTGAGAAACAGTTAGAAACCCTACACAGAACATTAGGCTAATAACCTAAGTAGTTAATGCCGATGGCACTAAATAAAAAAAAATATATGGCTTGGTTATCAAGCAAATAATTATTCTTTTCCGTTACACAATCTGCAGGTTAAATATTCCTTATGAATCGTCTTGTATAAGCTTTTTAGGTTGTCCTTGTTCTAAAGTCTATTAGATAATATTTCAGCTTCTTCAAATGCTGCTAAACCCTCTAAATTAATCATATTTCGTTTCGCATACGGATATTTTTCGATTCCTTCAAACTACAGTTTATTGCATTTCATACGAAAACGCCAAAATTCCGTATGCAAAAGTCACTCGTATGAGTTAGAAAATAGCAGCCCAGGTACTTTTCTTATGGAAAATTGGCTGTCACTTCTATGTCATATACGGTGTTAAACCGATTGCAAAACTTTAAAAATTAGAAAAGCAGTTTTTTAAAAGTTTATCCGTCAACTTTATAAATTATTACATATCCTGAGAAATCTAGCTATTTGTTTCCGCTGTTTTGGATTATTTAAAAATAAAGTAAATATAACACCTAAGTATTTGTATGTATTTGCCATGTCTATTACAGTATTTTTATATACAGGGTCCATTCTATATGGGCGGAACACTTGATTTACGGCTTAACTACGATAATTTGACTTATATAAAAGTTTTTGTACTATTTATTGACGTTTACAGATTTCCCGCATACGTAATGATTTTGAAGATATGACGTCATCGGGCAATATTTTAAATGAATTACCCTGTATTTATATTTTTTTTTCGAGTTCGTATGAAGTCTAATTTCATCAATGGTTCATTAAGTGGGTCCCAGACTTACGGTCTTATCAATAACAATTAAATTAGATTATACTTTAATAAGATACATTTTAAATATTTTAAATGGATCACCCTGTATTTATATATTTTTTTTCGGTTTCCTGGCAATATCATGATCTATTAACAAAAAATCTTAACGTCAAATCACAGTAAATACAAATATCTTTAGTGTACAGAGTATTTGATTATTATTACTAACAATGGAACTAAGTGAACGTGAAAGAATTACACTGTTGATGACGGTTGGTTTTGGAGACAGAAAAAGAGGTTTACAAGATGCTACATTTCCTGACAGAATGTCTCTAATTTCTAAGTCAACAGTGTATCGAAATTTACGAAAGTTTAACGAAACAGGTAGTGTCAAAAATATTCCTGGGTGGGTGAAAGAGGACAGCTATAAATGAGGAGAAATCACTTGATGTACTTCTAAATGTTCATGAAGAACCTAAAATTTTCATAGCAAAACTTGCATTAAATGAGCCGCTGAGAGCCAAAGTGGTATAACTCAATAAATTGCCGATTTTGAGTTATACCAAATTTCCCGTTCTTTTGATCGAAAACAGTAAACTGACAAAGTGGTATAACTCTACTTTGTGAATTTGCTAACAGAGGGCCCTTACATTGTTTTGCCTCCAAACGAATAGCGCTCTCATGAAAGTGGAAGAGTGGTATAACTCAGCGCGCCTACTAAACTCGTTACGATAATCTGTCAAAGTGGTATAAGTCATTTCTGTTCGCGTTCGCCAGCCGTATCGAAGCATTAGGGCATTAATATTTTTTTAACGTCAGATTGTTTATGTTGTTTTTGATAACTTCATTCGTTGTTTTTTGAAAGTATTAACAATTTTAATTTTACTTGATATCAATAGTGATTTCTTACGATTTACGATGAATGCGGAGGTGGAGACTAAAAAAGGGAAGAAAAGAGTAAGACGAGAAGTAGATCACAAGAAGGCCAAATTGAAAATAATGGTCAGGAGTATATTACAAACAAAGGTAAAAAAATCCCAGCCAAAGTATTTACTAATAAAAATTGTGGTTGTTCCAAAAAATGTATAGAATTAGTATCAGAAGAGGACAGGCGGGATATCTTTTCAAGATTTTGGAGCATGGGAAATTTTTCGGTTCAAAACAGATACCTTTGTGGTCTGATTAGACGATGCCCTGTTCAGCAGCGACGTCCTGACCAGAATGCGGAGGTGCCAAAAGGCCCAAAATCGGTATCATACAAGTATTTCTTAAATGTAAAATCTAACAGTATTATGGTATGCAAAAATTTTTTTTTGGATACCTTTTCTGTTTCTAATGGAAGACTTCAGCGATCTCAAAAGAAAGAAGAGTTAGGAAAATCTCCTGGTGAAGATCTGCGTGGTAAACACCCTTCAGCAAATAAAATGCCCGCAGAAGTGCTCAAAATTGTTAAGCAGCATATTGCGGAATTCCCCTCTTTTGAGAGCCATTATACAAGAGCTCATAATCCCCACAGAAAGTATCTAAGTCCTAATTTGAATATTAGGAAGCTCTATGAACTCTACAAGGAATACGCAGTGCAGAAGGGAATTCCTCCAGAAAAAATTGTCAAAGAAAGTATGTATAGAACTTTATTCAATATGGACTTTAATTTGGCATTCCACAGCCCCAGGAAGGATACATGCCAAAAATGCGATAAATTTAAAATAAAAACAGATGTAACTGACGATGGCCCTGAAAAAGAACAATTAAAACTTGAGCATATAATTCACCTAAGTAAAGCTGAGAAAGCAAGAACCTCTATGAAAGAGGATATTGATTTATTCAAAGAACATGAAGATGTTTCGATTTTTTGCTTTGATTTGCAAAAAGCGCTCGCATTTCCTAAACTGTCTACATCCAATGCTTACTACAAGCGAAACATGTATGTTTACAACCTAGGGATCCACGATCTTGTGACGGGTCAAGCTTACATGTACGTGTGGGATGAGACAACAGCATCAAGAGGGTCTCAAGAAATTGGTGCATGCATTATGAAACACGTACGCCAGTATTGCAGGCAATCTTCTCGCATTATTGCGTACAGTGACGCCTGTACTGGTCAAAATCGAAATATAAAATTATCTTTAATTTGGAAAAGAATTGTCCAAGATCCAGGGAACAACATAACTAATGTGGACCATAAATTTATGGTATCCGGGCACTCATTTTTGCCCAACGATCGCGACTTTGGAAATATTGAGACTGCCGCAAAAGGTGCATCAATCTTCTGCCCCACTGATTGGTACCGTGTCATCAAGGAAGCAAGGCAGCACAAAAAATTCATTGTCCATGAAATGACTCAACAAGATTTTTTTTCAACAGAACAGTTGGAAAAGTCTATTACTAAAAGAAAAGTAAATGTAGACAAAGGCAGATTCCTGTGGCTGAATATCCAATGGTTACAGTTTAAACATAACAAGCCACACTCATTGCTATACAAAGAGACTCTCAGCTCGCTAGTAACTTTCTCTGAAGTCGATTTAAGCAAACGGACTAGAGGAAGACCCTGTTCGCAGCTTCCAGCTAACCTAAAACTTCTATACGATGCCCCAAGACCAGTACCACCGGCAAAAAAAAGAGACATGCTGGAACTGCTGCAATGGATTCCACCAAACCACCATGAGTATTACCGTAATTTAAGGTCTTCTGAAGATGTCGCAGATGCTGGCCCTCTGTCTGATTATGGCGAAGAAAGCGACGACGAGTAAATTTTATGTTATTCATCACAGAATTATTGAATTTTTGAATAAACAATTTACAAAATTGTTTTTCTATTATTACCAGTTCAAACTCATCAAGCAAACCCAGTTTGAGGAAACAGAAGTAAAATATGTTTTGTGAAAAGTGGTATAAGTCATTGACTTGTACCACTTTTCCTGTGCTTTCGCCTGAAGGTCACGCGGAAAAACGGTATTTAATTATAAGAACGTAATTTTATGCCATTCGAAAGAATAGCAGTCATTAATTTTGGTTTAGTAGGAAATTCGACATATTATATTGAATGAACGTATCAAATTTTTTTCCAAAAAAACAATCTGATAATTTATGGATGGCTAAAACGCAAATGTCAAGATTTCTCAAATCGTTAAAAATGGAACATATACCACTTTGGTTCTCATCGGCTCAAATAATGATATTAGCCAGAGTTCTGTAAGAAGGCCACTGTTAAAAAATCATTTTCTTCCGTATAAAGTTCAATTACATCAAGAATTAAATGAAGATGATCCTGATCGACGAATGCAGTTTTGCCAAGAAATGATGGATCGAATTAATGGGAACACTATTATGAATAATATTGTGTTTTCCGACGAATCAACGTTTTGTCTAAACGGATTTGTTAATCGGCATAATTGCCGGTATTGGTCTGATCAGAATCCACACTGGATGATAGAAGGTCACACACAATATCCACAAAAGCTAAACGTTTGGGGAAGAATAATTGGACCTTTTTTTCTGAGACACTTTAAATAGTGATCGCTATTTACAACTTTTGCGAGAACAAATAGTTCAAGAATTAATCCGTATATTTCCCAATCGTGCTAATCATTTACAAATGTCAGAGGAAATATGGTTTCAGCAAGATGGCGCCCCACCTCATTTCGATGTTAGGGTTAGGGAATACCTCAACACAATATTTCCGCAGAGATGGATAGGCCGAAGAGGATATATTGAGTGGCCGACAAGTTCACCAGATTTAACTCCAACGGATTTTTTTTCTTTGGGGTCATTTAAAATCTGTAGTTTATAAGGATCTACCTCAATCTCTGGAAGAACTGGAAGATCGAATCCGAACGGCCACTCAAGAAATAACTTTTGAATCTATTCAAAACAGTTTAAGATCATTTGTTGATAGATTAGGATATTGCCAGGCAGCCGAGGGCTTTCAGTTTGAACATCTACTTTAAATAAATGTGTCTTATTAAAGTATAATCTAATTTAATTGTTATTATAAGACCGTAAGTCTGGGACCCACTTAATGTACAGGGTGAGCGAAACTCGATGTCTCAGCTCCATTATGCGACAAGGGAAAAAGATAGGAAAAAGTTGAAAAGAGGTTCTTAAATGGGATAGAGTAAGGTCCGTTTTAAGCCCAATTTGCATATTTGTCCATATTTGGAAACTGAGGTAATGACGTCATCGATTTTTTTTTTTCGGAAACATACCTATATTTTTACAAATTTAAAAAGAGCAAATTTTATAAAGAAAAAAATTTGATATCTCCTTCACTTTAAAAATTATAAGCAAATTTGTAAAAAGAAACAAATAATATATTACTTACAAGAGAAAGAAACAAAGCTTGTATGCATAGTCAATCATTAAAACAAATTTTCAATGTGACCACCTCCTACTTCTAAACACTTATCCAATCTCCGTCTTACTTCTCTTACCGAAGCCTTACGTAACATTTCTCTAGATAATTCATCGCAAGCAATTCTGATTTTGTCTTTTAAATGTTCCATGTTAACTGATGGTGTTCTGTAAACTTTATTTTTCAAAATTTCCCACGAAAAGAAATCTAGTGGGGTCAAGTCCGGTGATTTAGGCGCCCACTGTATTGGTCCATTTATACCTATCCAATGTTCTCCATAAGTTTCATTCAAATATCGTTGGACAATTCTTGCTTTATGCGGTGGAGCTCCATCATGCTGGAAACACATATTTGCTCGAAGCTGTAATGGCAAATTTTCGAGAAGCACAGGCAATTGTTGTTGAAGAAATTGCAAGTATCGCTCACTACATAAAATTCCTTCGTAAAAATATGGACCAATCAAATGCCCATTAATAATACCACACCAAACGTTAATTCCGAAATGCCCTTGGTTTTCAATCGGATTGACAAAATGTGGATTCTCAGTAGCCCAATAATGTTCATTTTTTTTATTGGGCTTACCATTACCAACAAAACGGCTTTCGTCCGTCCATAAAACGTGCTGAAAAAATCAATTTTCATACTCTAACGTTTCCATCACTTAGGCAATATAATTCAATCTTCGTTGTTGATGTTGATCTGATAAGTATTCTAAGTTGTGAAGTTTATAATCGTGGTAACCATTTTCCTTCAAAATTTTTCATATCGAACTATATTTTAAATTCAACTCACGACAGGCTTGCCGAATCGAATTTCTTGGATGGGTTTCAAAATACTGCAAAACAGTGGCAACAGTATTATCAGAATTGACTCTTTTAGCAATTTTTTTTCCCATTTGAGAAGAAAATGCCTTGTTATTTGAACGTAAATTGCGTTCCAATCTTGCAAATATTTTTAAGCTTGGAATAACACGTTCGGGGTATCTCTGGGCATATAACTGAACTGCTCTTCTAGGATTCTTTTGAGATTCCCCATAAACTAATAACATGTAGACTTTTTCATTGTGCGTGAACATTTTTCAAAGCCAAATAACAACATAACAATATTTGTCAACCATTCATTTAATTTGACAGATACGTCTTTGCTATTTGTTTCCAAAGGCGACTTGTTTAAATTGTGACTATTGTGAATTTTTGATTATACTTTTTTTTACAAATTTGCTTATAATTTTTAAAGTGAAGGAGATATCAAATTTTTTTCTTCATAAAATTTGTTCAGAAAAATTAGCTCTTTTTAAATTTGTAAAAATATAGGTATATTTCCGAAAAAAAAAAATCGATGACGTCATTACCTCAGTTTCAAAATATGGACAAATATGCAAATTGGGCTTAAAACGGACCTTACTCTATCCCATTTAAGAACCTCTTTTCAACTTTTTCCTATCTTTTTCCCTTGTCCCATAATGGAGCTGAGACATCGAGTTTCGCTCACCCTGAATTCAGACAGATCATACGAACTCGAAAAAAAAATACAAATACAGGGTGATCCATTTAAAATATTGCCCGATGACGTCATATCTTGAAAACCATTACGTATGCGGGAAATCTGTAAACGTCAATAAATAGTAAATAAAATGTACAAAAACTTTTATCGAAGTCAAATTATCGTACAAGTCACAGTTAAGCCATAAATCAAGTGTTCCGCCCATATAGAATGACCCTGTATAAATTATTATTTACGGGCAATATTTGGACTTTTGCAAAATATAATTATTTTGTTATTTGATGGATTAACCTCAAGGTTAAGTTTGTCACAATATGATTTAAGAATTATCAGATTTCTTTTTAGTTATATTTGAGATTCTTCAAATAGTACAAGTCATCGACATAAAGTAACATAATTATATCAAGATTAACCCATTTGGCACCAAGTTTTCTAAAATATTCGTTAAAGTCAGAAATGAATAAAGAGAAAATTAGAAGACTTAGGATATCTCCTTGTAAAATCTAATATCTTTTTCATATTTTTGTTTTTTACTTTTTAATAACTAGTTATTCTATACTTTAAAACAGTATCGTTTTCGAAATTTTCTACGATCACTATCCAAAGGAGGCCTTTCATTTAAATCTTACTAAAAATTTGACGTTTTCCGCTAATTGTCATAATTTGACATTATTGGTGCACACGTGCGAAAGTAACTTTGGCACACGCTTGTATATTTTCATTTAAATAGTATTTTCCTTAAATAATTAAATTATTAAGTCATAAATAATTATGGACATATATTAGAAGTGCTACAATATTTTTTATTTTCAAAGAGTAGGCTTATATCAAATAAATATTATAATGAAAGAAGGTAACCCATTTTTAATAAAATTAAATATTTATTTTATTTTGTTGCGATCATAGAAAAAATCTTGTGTGTAATTCGAGCAGAAAGTCCTTTTGCAGTTTCGACAGATTGTCCGCTGAGCTAACGCGTCGCGCGGCAACTTTCTGTTTTAACTGCACAAGTGCTACTTTCTGCTTTTAATATACAAATAGCTATTATATTAAACTAATGCATTTTCATGTTTTAAATTTAATATAATTAATATAATTCTTGCCTGTCTTCCGTCTTCTTCGTCTTTTTCTGCTTCTTCAGCGCCATCATATTTTTCATTTTCTTTTACTGCTTCATCTTCTTCACATTCATTTTCTTCTTGAGTCCCATTGTAACATTTTCTAAGTAGTCTTGTTACTAGATCCGTGACCACTCATCAAGTTCTATGTTGTTGGTTTTATATTATGTCTCCTTCATTTAGTTGTTATTTTATATCATTATTTATTTTAATGTCGCCCCAGAGCACGACGGCAAATAATATCAATAATAATAATAATAATAATAATAATAATAATAATAATAATAATAATAATAATAATAATAATAATAATAATAAATAGCAATTCCAATTCCGCACCGGTTAGACTTTTTTGGGGTTAAAATTAGTTCGTAAAGAAGTGAATAGGGAGAATTTTTTTTCTTATTGTGTAATTTTTAAGACGACAGTAGTTTGGATCCTACATTAAACCACTACATTAATTTGTGTGGTTCGTTGTAACTCCCAATATACGATCTTTAGGTATTAAATAATTATATTTGTTGGTTATTTGTTTTAGGTTTCTGTTACAAAAGAGGCTGGATCCTCTTACCAGACACGCAGATAGTACAACAGAAAGTATGGATCTAGAACCTTTCGTTGATAAAAGCCCCAGTTTATCTGAAGACAATCTCATTAATGATATACAGAAGAGGATGCCAAATTTACCTATAGTTTACTGGAATAAAAACAAAAATAAACCTATGGGATTTAACAATACCTGCGCAAGGTAAGAATTGATCAAAATTGAATTTATAATAAGAAAATATGGGTTATAATTTTAATATTCTGGCTTTAGTTACCCATATTTAAACTGATTACAAACAGGTAAACTAGTAGGGGAGAGTGGGGATGTTTGGGTCGTGGGAGGATTGGGTCAGTTAATTTATTTCCATCTTTGGTAAATATTTTCCGCTCGTACATGTATTACTGGTTGCGGTGCTCATATATGTCATTGTAAACAAAGCCTCATGTTTGTCTGCTTGCGTGTTTAGTGTTCTGTGAAAATAAGTGAATTTTTAGGTAAATTTTACTTAAAATAGTTTTATAAGTAGGTCACAGTTTTGAGCTTGCATGTAGCATGACGCGCTTTTAATTTTTTCTGTGATTGACTTGATGTTTAAGTGACAAACGTACGTGATAAATTATAACCTAAAACATGTTGTTAGCATAAGGTTGATGCTTTTTTGTGAATATTGATGAGAGGGAGGTTGGGGTCAGCAGCGCGCGGGAGATTTGAGCCGACCCAAACCTCCCCACGTTCTTTTAGTGAAAGGTCATAGTTAATTTTTCTTTACAGATTTACAATGGCACTTACTTATAAACAGAAAACTGTCAGAGAAAGAAAGACTCCTGAGCAGATATCACAAGCTGTGCAAGTCGTTCTCCAGAATAAAATATCAGCTCGGCAAGTAGCTGCAAATCTAGGGTTTTCGAGGTCCGCTTTGCAAAGGCATGTGCAAAATGCTAAGAAAATGCCATTAGAGAACCAACAGAATTATACTTTCGTAGCTAACCCATATTCTAGACGCGTGTTTTCAAACGAGCAAGAAACAATGTTGTATTTGCAGACTTGCAGCAAAATGCATTACGGTTTGACCACTAAAGAAACGAGGGAGTTCGCTTATCAATATGCGAGGAAGCTAGAAATCAGTTATCCAAAGGAATGGGATGAGTCTAAAGCTGCTAAGCGTGATTGGCTACTAGGTTTCATGAAGCGGCACCCTCAGATTTCTATACGACAACCTGAGGCAACAAGCTTAGGAAGGGAAACAAGCTTTAATGCCCATAATGTTGGCAAATTCTTTGAAAATCTGAGGTACATTTTAGAAAAATGTAAATTCTCTCCAGACAATATATGTAACTGCGACGAAACATCCGTTACCACAGTCCATAAGCCCCCAAAATTACTAGCAGTTAAAGGCCAGAAACATGTAGGGCAAGTTACATCTGTGAAGAGGGGCACATTGGTAACAATGTGTTGCTTTATCAATGCAGCCGGGAACACGATCCCTCTGGTTTTTGTTTTTACAAGAAAAAGGTTCTTAGATAATATGCTTATCAATGGACCAGAGAACAGTATGGGATTGGCACATAAAACATTTTATCAAATATTCGAAGGCAACCAAGGAAAACCCATGTCTGCTTTTACTTGATAATCAAGAAAGCCACGTCAATGTAGAAGTCATATCCGTAGCCAAAAAAAAAATGGTGTGCACCTTCTAACTCTCCCACCGCATTGCAGCCATCATCTGCAACCGCTGGACGTATCTGTGTATGGCCCTAAGGCACGCTACAATGCATCTTCTTCCGCTTGGATGACGTCAAATACCGGACGAACCATAACCATTTATCACATAGTAGGTTTAGCCAAAACAGCTTTTGATGGTGCAATGTCAACTATGTCAAGACAAAACATACTATCAAATTTTTTCAGCTGACGATTTTTTAATGTCTGCAGTTACCAACCAACCACAACCAGAACAAATCAATGATGAAGCTGAACCTACGACTTCAACCTCATTTTCACTTACGACTTCTACTACACCTTCGTCCTCTACTACACCTACGACTTCTACATGGAACGACTGTCTTATAACTCCTGAATCCGTGTTGCCATATCCCAAGGCAAAACCTAGAACTGCATCAAATCGGGGGCGTGTAAAAGGGCATACGCGAATTCTAACAGAAACGCCAGAGGAAAACGAAATAGAAGGATTAGAAAATAAAAGGGCTATGAAAAAAGTGGCTACAGTAAAGAGGAATTTTGTGAAGATATTAGTCAGAAAAAGATAAAGAAAAAGAAGTCACTGCTAAGCATACCAGAAGACAATGAAAGCGATGAAGCCAGTGAAGAACTGCAGGATTCAGACATTTCTGAATACGATCCAGAAGATGATCGTAGGCCTGAAGATTTTGATCACTCTGCAACTTGTTCTAGAGTTGGAGATTATGTAGTTGTCAAATTCCCTACAAAACGTACCTGTCTGCATTATGTTGGAAACATACAAAATGTAAATGAACAAGGAAATTATGTGATTAATTTCTTGTGCAAGAAAATTCAAACACGTTTTACTACCCGCAGCAAATGGATATTTCAGAAGTTGATCTTTGCGATATAGTTTTGCGTTTGAGACCTCCGAATAAGGTGACTGGTACCAACAGAACACAAAGCTTTTTTAATTTCGATATTGACTTAAACAGTTTTCAAAATCTGAATTAAAATGTCTTTATGATTTGAGTCTCATATGATACATACATATTTGTTTGTTTTAGAAATCCATATTTTTCTTTGTATTCTTATTTCTACTCTTACTTTGACTCTTGTATGCAATTATCTAATAAAAAGTCTTAAAATGCGCAAATCTTTACATTTTCACCTGAAAAACCACAAATAGTCAGTGACCCATTCAGCCCCATTACCTGACCCATACCTCCCACTATAAGGGAGGTCTGGGTCAGATAGCGACTTCTGAATTTTTTGTACTTTCTAATGATCCTATGTAATAATATTTAAAAAAAATGTTATGTAAATTGATAGTCAAACATTACTAATTACAACTGTCTGACATTAAAGTAATATTTGTTTTATTTTCAAAAGATTTATCAAATTTTTTAAAAAGTGACCCAAACGTCCCCGCCTTCCCCTATATTAATATGGAAACCTCTGAGTAAGTTTCTAATCCGAAAAAACTCAATTTTCAACAACACGAACCACTTCAAAGTGAGATTTATCTTTGGATTGGAAAATTACTTAAGCGTTTTCCATATAAAGTGGTGCCCAACGTGAATCCAGCGTACTTTTTGTTTTTTGATATAGTACTAATAATTTTTGATCATTGATTATGGTACTATGGACAACAATAAACGTCATTATGGCACCTGTACTTTAATGAAAGTCCTTATGGTACTTAAATTAGGACTTATAACGTTGTCATTATGAGATGCTAAATGATGAGCTTACATGTTTCAAATACAATTTAATTAGATTTATTTTTTTACAGATTTCCGTCAATGTTTGATTTAGAGTTTAACAACCTCTACTGGCAAACCTTACGTACTACCAACGGTACCTTCCAACTTTTTGGAGCTTACTTGGATAAAAGGCCCAACAATAGGCTCGGACCAACCGTTAGAATTTTAGGAATGATTGATAGAATCGAACCTACAGTAATCACTTACTGCCAATTTTGGTTTGATGGCAAAAAAGACCCCGTTTTAGGAAAGAGTTTTGAGTATAAGTATATTTGGTATGTATTTATTCATTTTATTGCTTTTTTTTAACTTATCCTAACTCGAAAGTATTTTAGTTTGAAAAATTCAGGCATTCTTCTTTTTAAGTATCAGTTTGGATTTAATTTAGAGCCGTGTATAGTTATCAACGACATGACTCGTACCTTACTTGAGAAACATTTTTTGCGGATCACTCTTCAGAATACTGTTCACCAAATGGTATTTGTTCATTAATTATTTAGACTATTATTTAATTATTCGGATCCCTCCTTAATAAGTTCATCAGTCTTTTTATTTTCTCAAATTTATCCTGGACACCAGTCTAGTTTTCTTATTTTGGGTTACCAATTTAAAAAGTTTTAGCCTACCTTAATTGATAAATATAGTACAATTTAGGGGCAATACTTTCCTTACAATATTTCTCTTTCTTTTTTTAGGTACAAAAAGTGGGGCAACTACAAACAAGGAATTTACCAGCCATACCTCATAGCATGCATAATTCCTCAAAAATTCAGAGACCTTATTCCCCAGTCAATATCTTTAGTCGAAAAGCAATGTGATAATGCCACTAACAATTTGAGAATAATATACGAAAAACCCGTAGAGAAAAAAGATTTTGCAGTTTGTGTCAAGGGACTTGATTTTCTCCATGAAGATTTGTCTGTTAGGCTCATAGAATGGATAGAATTACTAAATCTTCTAGGAGCTGATAAAGTTTTTTTCTACGAATTACAAGTGCATCCTAATATTAGCAAAGTTTTGAAGCATTATGAACAGGAAGGGAAGGTAAAAAATGAAAATTTATTATTATATTTATTATCAGTTGTTTCGTTCCAAATTTCTAGTTAAATTTAGATATTCCATTAGGAATTAATTACGCTTTTAACATACCTAAACCCTTTCTGTCTACATCTAACGACTTCCAGAAATCTCACTTTAATGAAATCCGATAGAAAATTTAAATTTTTTGTCGTAGACAATCATGGAATAGCTCCTTCTCCAAACAGCTCCCTTGCGTTTCTCTGCCAGCAGGTTCTAGCCGTCAGCTAATCTTTATATCTCAATTAGTTCGCATCGAGCAGTAAAGATATCGCTTCGCAATATACTGCATTAAATCATATCTCTTTGCAATATACTGTATTAAAACGTATTCCCTTCATCGTGTATAGGTACTAAAAAATTCAATCTTTAAAAAGCCATATTTTATTTGTTTGTTTACTATAAAATATCCCGACTAGCACACTGATGTTACAGCGACGTCATTTATTGATCATCCATTACGTTATTTTTCTCAAAATGACGTCCAGTTCACGTCATTATATCACGGCCCAGTGACGTCATTTTGTGACGTTACTTTAACATAATTTTGTGACATTACTATGACGTCAATTTGTTACTATGACGTTATAGATTAGATTAGATTTAATTAGGACTGTGAACCATGTGACCTCCCTCACCTCGACCTTTTCAGATCTATTGTGGATATCCTGGAACGTTGTTTAGAGTACCTTGTCTAATTCGGTCTTTTGTAGTAGACTCCATAGATTGAGAAGTAGTTCTCCGGTATAGCTAGTTGCTCTTGGTTTTTCTTCTCCAAGTGTAAGGAATCTTAGTCTTGCTAGACCTTCGCAATAGCACAATACGTGTACTACCGTTTCCTCCTTTTCCTGACAGAATCGGCACAAGGTCTCTTCTGTCAGACCGATATTATACATATGTTTGTTAAGCCTACAATGCCCTGTTAATAGACCCACTAGTACTCTAGTATTTTTCCTATTAAGGCTTAGTAGATGCTTTGTGAGTTTAAGCGATGGTCCTTTTAAGAACTCTTTGGCCTGTTTCTGTCCTGGAGAGTGTTTCCACCACTCCTGAGATTTTTTAAACAACCACTGCTTTGTGCATGTTCTGATAGTTGTTTTTGTTATACCACAGATTTGAGGCTAGTAAATCAGCCTCTTTATTGCCCTTATGTCCTCTGTGGCCTAGTCTGTTTTGACTACCTAGTTCTGTTAGGGCTTCCAAACAGTCCCACACAAGCTTTGAATGTACCTGCATGGAACTGAGTGCCTTTAACGTTGCTTGACTGTATATGACAATGGTTTTTCCATTTACCTTCTGTCTTAATACCTCTTTTGCGCAGTGATGTATTGCTGCTATTTCTGTCTTTAATACTGTCGCATGTTTACTTTGGCTTGGTACTATATATACCTACTCCTGAACCTTAATGGGTTTTGGAGCCGTCTGTATACCAGGTGAATTCTGCATGAATAGAAGGCCCTCCTGTCTATGCTTCCCTGTATACTTATTATATATTGCTTTTGAAAGATATACTTTGGGAGCATTTCATCTGAAGACATTTCCATTATTTGGTCGTTCTCCAACTCTTTATATAGCTCGCTTTAGTCGCGTCCGTGCAAACTGCTTATGGGTGATGAACCTTTGTGCAGTCTGTATGTGACAGACCTGGTTTCGCTTTGAATGAATATATGTAGTGGTATTAGGTTTAGCATGACTTCTATAGCTGCTATTGGAGTCGTTATCATAGCTCCCGTGGTACTCAGGCATGCTTGCCTTTGAATACCATTGAGATGTCGAATGTCCAGCTTGCTTAGTTTTTGGCCACCATACCACCGACCCGTAGGTTATCACCGGCCTTATGACTCTGGTATATAACCATAGGGACATTTTTCGGTTGTAGTCCTCAATTTTTTCCACACAACCTTCGACATAAGCTAAAAGATGTTGTGCTGTTTTGAGTAAATTTTTGCAAGTGTTGATTCCATGTTAACCTGTGGTCAAAGATGACTCCCAAGTATTTGGCCTCTTGAGCATATGTAATCTTCACTCCAGATAGATAACAATAGACTGTCTTTATTTTAAAATAATTACATATACCAATTTATTAAAACTAAATAATAAACATCGTGAATAGGAAATAAAATTACAGAAGAAAATGGAAAATAATTACTGCAATAAAAGCAAGTTCTTTGTTAGAGCATCAAATAAACATAATTTCCTGTAAGATGTCCAATATACGTCTTTTCTTCGAGGTGTTAAACCATTCACGGTGCACTAAAGTTAGACCGCCCCCAGAACCATCCGAAAATTTATTACATACCTACTTTATACCTACATCGTGTATTCAATAACTAAAATATAACACTTTGTATCCTCCAAAATACATAATCTAAGGAATATCTTACCTAATAACTTCAAAACTAGAGATAATTCTGAACAAATCTATAAAAAAGCCACTTTTTTGCAACATGATAATATAACCCAACTTTTTCTTCCTTTCTCTTTTTTGCGTTTTCTTAATTGGTATCACCCAATCAGCGATCAGCCATCAAAATATAAAATTCTTGAAGGGCAAAAAAAAATTTGTTGGCACTTTAATTAAAGTTAAAATTTTATGACCATATTTGACATGACATTTATGACATCTCTGAGATGTCATTTTTAAGTGATGTGACGTCCTGAAGAAATTCTCACCAAAAAATGACGTCACGGTAACATCAATGTGCTATCTGGGGTATCTATTAATGAGACCAGATAACTATTATAAAGTATTATAATGTAAACTATTCCAGCTGATTTTTTCAATCACCAAATCACATTTGGTCCTTTGGTCCTTCGCTAGGTAACAAGACAAAGGAAAGTTGTACAATTGTAAAATAAAGCATCATCTTTATAAATGTTTGATTCCATTGAATCTCCTTTCCATTCCATTGATGGAACAGCTGAATTGCTTTAACGTTTACTTGATATTGAAGATTGTTATCATTTGTAGAATGAAAATTGCAGAGTAATAGTTTGGCCTCAAGATCTTTCAGCACTGCGATCAATATAATCCTTTTTGAATAAAAAAGGCTCTCTTCATGATACTGAGTAATTTTTTCATCTCCAGGTTTTTATATTTCATTGGCTGATTCTTCTCCAGATACAGTTATTGATAACTTCTAAGGAGTAAACAGCAGGCCAAAATGTCTGCAACTAATTCCCTTTTACGATCCAATGCCTATAAAAGTATCTCACGATTCCTGAGCAATTCTTCTACAATACCTCGACAACTCCTCAGTAATTCCTCGATAATTTGCGCAATTCTCTGGTATTTACTTAGCAATTCCCATAATTCCATGGCAATTCCCACATTTTTTATCAATTCATAAAATTCCTTCAGACCTGTGAATTTCTCGCAATTTCTTACCCATGTACACATAATTTCCTCCGCGGTTTTCCGTTCGCTATCTTCTAGTTCATATAACATATCGTAATATTTCTACTATAGGTATTATTAATACCTATTACCTGAAAATAAAATAAGTAAACGAAACGAAGATAAAATATTTTTTTAATATTTTTTAGGTACACGTAACACCGATCAACCTAGCTGGTGGTCAACCGAATGCACCTTCATTTCAGCATCTTTATTTAACAAAGAAAACCAACCACAAAAGACAGAACGAACTTATCCCTTATAACGATTGCTTTTACAAACATATGTATGAATACAAGTAAGTACATAATAAACATTATATAATAGGGTGGGAAATTTACCGACAGTTGAGAACTTTGAAGAGACTGTCAACGACAATAAAGAAACATTAGATACCGAAAAAATTATTATTAAAATGGTTGTAAAAAGCAGAAAACAGGAAGAAAGTTTTCTTGCTGCAAAACAAATTAGAGAGATATTGCAAATTTCTATAACGTCAGCTACTTAAATGATCTGCTCATGCTCAGATGTCAAAATAAGAGCGGCATTAATAGTTGCTGACCTTAAATGAGCTTGCAATATCGCTCTCTATTGAGGCACGTTCTGGAGTGTGAGTATAACTTTCGCATTGTGACTAGTTGGTTGTTAGTGACGCCTGCCTGCCACCGGGTTGGCACAAAATTGTTCGAAAAATATTTGATCGAACTGGAAATTCGATTAAAAATACATTTTATCGAATGACATTTGATCGAAAATATGTTTTTTCTACGATCACTATCCAAAGTAGGCTTTTGCGCTTCGAAATACAACCGCAAAGTTGACGTTTTCCGCGAACTGACGTTAAGTGACAGCTTTGTCGCTCGCCGAGTGGAAAACTTGACAGCTTTGTTGCTCGCCTAATCTAAATTAGATATATATTTTTTTAATAAATGATTTTCAAGTTATTTGTACGTAGTTACATGTTTATTTGTTATATTATTCAAGTTAATATGGACTTTGAATATCATCTACTCTTTTCATGATTAATGTAGATAACAAAACATTATACAATAATTACGACAAATTTTCAGTTTTTATATATATTTCTTAAGAAAATGTGATCGTTGAAAAAATCTTGTGTGCATTTTTAACAAAAAGTTCGTTGCCGCTTTCGACAGATTACCGCGCTCCGCTACGCATTGCGTGGCCAACTTTCTGTCTCAAGCTGTAAAATATTACTTTTCCTCTTAATACTCAAATATCTATTGTCGAATAACATTTGATCGAAGATATATTTTATCGAATAACATTTTATATAAAAGACAATAGATCTAAAATTAATTTGATCGAAAGGACAATATATTAAAAATCGACATTAAAAATAGTAAAATATATTAAAAAATCAAACCATGTAACCGTCCGTCTAATCCCTATTACCGGGGAAACTAAACTCAGCTGCTATCGTCAAATTAATTACTAATGTCACAAGTTAGGTAAATAAATTAGGTTTTTTTTTATAAAAAAAACAACTAATTTACCTAACCTGTGCGGCCTGGAGTCGTCGAGGGTTGCTTCGCAAAAAAATATATACAAAAATGCAAAAAATAAAAATCCTTAACCAATTTACTTAACCTATGTGATCTGGAGTCATGTGCTCTCGCACATGTTAGAAAAATTAGTTTTATTTTTAATTTTTTGTATATTTTTTTTTGTGAAGCAACCAGCGATGGCTCTAGGCAGGTTAGATAGTTTAGTTGAGTTTTTTTTATTTTTTCTTATTCTATATATTTGGATTTTCGATCAATTGCTTTTTCTATCAATATATTTTCGATCAATTTTCTTTTTGATCATTGTTATTTTTCATCAAACATTTTCGATCAATTTTGAGCCACACCCTGCTACCATTCCTGAACCAATTCGGTTGTTCTCTGGGTGTGTATCTGTTAATTGTCAAAAATCAATAAACATAACCAAACATTTTAGTTATCCTGCTTTATCACATTTTTATTTATAGTTTTACATTTTTGTACGTGTTTGTGTTTATAGGTTATAAAAAATATATTCCAAGAAATAAAGAATAATTGACAATTGATAACTATAATATTGCAATCGCACCTCCTCACACTGTAAAATTATGGTGTGGAGTTATGAGATTGATGTGCGCGCCTCTGATAATTTTTGAACGAAATAGTGTGTACACACTTGAGAGAGACATTCTTATTTATGAACGGCATGAACGTCACATTGGTGTCATGTTTCTAGTGTATTCCAGACATTGGTGGTCATAGTCGGCCCATTCGCTGGTTACGGAGGTTGACTTATTTCATCGGATATTCTTGGTAATCGGAAAAGTGGAGACCGTAAAAGGCCCAAATGAGAGGAACTTAAGGGATTAAATCATGACCGAACCGTTCGAAAATGGCTCACACGACAATATTTTATTTGCTCATTACACAATGCTACTGAATTTTTTTAATATTTAATGGATAATTGTGTGACTTTGTACCCTCAAAGGACAATGGGCAGAAATGTACGGGAAATTGTCCCACCTGCAATAAGGATAAATTATATATCAATTGAACGATCTTTTTAAGGAGAACATTTCTCTTTATTACGACTCATCTCAATTACTTGTCCGTTCCGAGTTATACCATCCTAAATGTAACTAATTGCACGATAGGCCAATGCTTATATTATGCTTATTGTAGTGCTTATTACAGGAAAATAATAGTAAATATTACATCATAGTAATATATAAACAATTATAATATCCGAGTATATCATAAGATGCTGTAGAGGATTTTATCCGCCACGTATATGCCTTACCAAATGGCCTCTACGTGTTTGTTACACAGCCCCACATATGCTCTCCAAAGAACCGGGACCAACGGTTCAAGACCGAGGTAATGGACTAACATAATAATACAATAATAAATATTATTACCCCATTTATATTAGAATGAATATAAAGCCATTTGTAACATATCCTGGGTGCAGCATTCCATACACGTCGGTCCAGATTATGACATGATATTTTTTAAATTACTTTTATACAGAAAGGTGAATATCTATTGGAGCTCTATTTTTTTTTAATTTGGTGTCATCGGCATCGACTACTAAGGCCATTGGACTCGTGTTCTGTGTAGGCTTTGTTACTGTTTCCCAGCGGCACTTTAGGAACAGCACTGTTAATTAGAACCAACAGTGAATGGTCGAGTGAGAAATCCTACCAAGGCATTAGAATTAATTTTAAATAATTAAATTAAGTAAAAAAATTCCGGCCAATGGTGGGATTCGAACCTGAGACCCTTGGATCCCCAGACAGAGACTCTGAGCCACCCACCCCTATGGGGAGCTCTAATTAAAAAATATTTTGGAATTTACAGTGTGCTTCAAAAAGTTTCTATCTAAAAAGTATTAACATTGAAAAATTTTAAACATTACAACCGTTTTATACAATATGAAATGAAAGTAATAGGTAGAAGGCATGAAAAATGCTTTTCAGCTAAACTAAAGTTAGATTATATCGCCTATAATTTGGCAACTATGCATTTTCTCGATTCGAGATTTGAGTTTCTGTTTAGTTGTTACACTGACAAGTGTCCCCATGGCAACAGTTGTTCCGAAACTGACTTCAGCGGAAGTTTAATTAAATCATCTATAAGTTGGCAACTATGCATTTCCATACCATTGAATTTGGCTTTTTTGTTTAGTCGTTACCTATAGTTAAATTAAAGCATCTACAACTTGGCAACTACTCATTTCTTTACCACGGTATTTCGGTTTTTGTTTATTTGTTACCATGATAAGTATCCCTATGGCAACAGTTTGTTCTTAACTGATTTCAGCTTAATTAAATCACCATAACTTGACAAATACGCGTTTTCTCACCACATGATTTGGGTTTTTGTTCGGTCGTTACCATAACAAGCGTACCAATGGCAACAGTTTTCCCATAACTGATTACAGCTAAACTAAAGTTTAATTAAATCATATAACTTGGTAACCACGCATTTCCTCACCACGTGATTTGGATTTTTGTTTAGTCATTACCATGACAAACGTTCCCATGGCAACAGTTTCTCCACAACTGATTTTATCTAAACTAAAATAAAAATTAAATCATCTATAACTTGACAACTTCGCATTTTCCCACCACGGGATTTGGGTGTTTGTTTAGTCGTTAATATACCAAGTTTTGGGGGGAGGGTAACACACTAACAAAAAAACTTTCAAAGTTAGCAAAGGGGGTTTTTAACAAAAAAAAACCTGTGTTTTGTCACATGCACTATCATACAGTGTTTCTACTTAATTTGGAAACATATGGAAAACTTTTTTATTATTAGTTTTGTGAAAAAATTCATATGTGATAAAAAATTCTACATGGTCCAAAACTAAAAATGCAACCATAAGCCAAAAATTATGAATTTTACTCAAGAGTAAAGTAGGTACCTTTATTTTTTACAATACAGAACAATGTTATAAAATAAAGTTATTTTAAATTAAAAATATGCAATTTTAACCATTTAGCATTAAAATTCAGGTTTGGTAATTATTTAATTTATAGTTACAAATAATTTAAAATCTATAATATAAATAATCACCTAACCTGATTTTTTATGATAAATGCCTGTAATTGTATATTTGGATATAACTTTTAATTCTAAATATTTTTACTTTACAACATTCTTCTGTATAACAAACTTCGTATACGGCTTAAAAAAATTGATATCTGATGATTGCATTTTAAGTTTTGGATCATGCAGAATTTCTTATCAACAATAATTTTTTCCAGAAAATCAATATTAAAAAAGTTTTCCATAAGGTTTCAAAAGTAGACACACTGTATAACTCGAAACGGACAGACAATTGATAGAAGTCATAATAAAAACAAATGTTCTTCTTACCGATATCTTTGATTTGGCATATATCTTACTCCTATTGGGAGGTGGGGCAAAACGGCCCATTCTCCTTTGATTGTACCTGTAATAAGATTTATAAACTAATTTTATATTTTTTACTGATACCCTTTCTTTTAGGCCTGAAGAATAGCTTTGGGTCGAAACCGTTAACCGCTTTATAATATGTTAATAAAGTATATGTATGGTAGAGATTTTGAGTATTATTTTTATTTGTAAAAAAGCCACATTTTAATATAATCTACCATTTAAAATACATTACATTGTGTGTACATATTATTCAAATCTCGCGCGGTCAATAATTTTTCTATTGGTCCGGATCTTCTAGATGCATTATGATGCACATTGTTATTTACATATTTCGTTGATCATGGTCAACAGCACCCCATCACCTTCTAAAAATACAGCACGACACGTGAGCTTCTCAAAATCGCTTTTTATTTTGTCCCACCCTATACCTGTTGTAATGTAATTTTTACCACAGTTTTTAAACTTCATTTCATTGGAGCTTTGTTTACATTTTTTATTTTTTTTTAGATACATAATTCTGTTGGATATCGACGAAGTGATAATGCCACTAGAAGGAACAACATGGAAAGGATTAATGGACAAAGTGTTACCAAAGGCACTGAAAATAAATAAAGAGGAAAGAGCTTCGTACAATGTCAGGAACGTATATTTCTTGGATGATCTTATACATAATCATGGATGGTTCAAGGAAATCCCAAAGTAATTAAAATTTTATTTTTTAACGTTATTCTCAAATACCCACATATTACATTAATAATATCCATTATGCAGGTACATTTTTGTATTGTTATATATTCTTTTATAATCTTCATTTTAAGTTTAAGACGTTTTCCCTTACAATTTTCTTCAATGTCAATTTCTATTCCTAATTCTTTGTCTGCAGTCTTCATTGTGAAAATAATTCTTATTCTGTACGGCACATTTCAATGCGACTTTCCATCCTCCTAGAAAATTATTATAATATTTCTTTAATAACTGCTGTTCTTATCTCTCGTTGTTATCAAGTTAATATCATGTTCTGTAAGCCATTCTGTAATAACTTTGGATGTGAAAGCACTTCCACAATCCCTTACTATCTTAACCGTTTCTAAACAGCCTTACTTCATTTTATACTTAATACAACTTTATTTTGAACAATATCCTATGTTCTAAAAACAGATGTATATGTTTCTAAATATTTTCAGGTACATGCACATGCTTCAACACGTATACCGTACGAAAAACTTTACAAAACCAGGTCAATACGTCAAATGTTTCCACAATACAGAAAAAGTGTTAACGCTACACAACCATTTTCCATTAAGCTGCCTTGGTAGTGGTTGTACTAGCTACCCAATAGAGACTATAGACGCACAACTGCACCACTATCGAGCAGACTGTGTTAAAACGCTCAAAAAAACTTGCGAGGAGTTTAGGAAAACCAGTGTAATGGATACAACAATTTGGAAATTTAAAGATCCTTTAATTGCAAGGGTTACAAGGACTTTAAGGACTTTAGGGTTTTTCGCTAATAGCGACATCAATGTTAGTAGTAATTCTATTAGAAAGAGGTGAAAGAGGGGCTTGGGAAAATAAGTGAAGCTGTTTTTAATATTTCTTTCTTTCTTATATTTTTTGTGACGATGAATTATTTTATTTAGGCGACTTGGTGTACACTAGCTTTCAGAAAAGCTTTTGGTATCTTTAGTTCGATTTAAGTTCCTTTTCCTGTATACATTGTAAATATTATTTGCAGAACTGATTTATATTAAATAAGTAAATCATGAAACAGATATACCAGCCAGGATATATTTTATGTAACGCATCAACCTGTGGTATCGTATAAATAGGCTGCTTTAACTTTTATGTAACCAGTTTTCATTGTCAAACAAAATGTAATATAAATATTGTGATATAGCATTTTAGTTTTTAGTACTAGTTTTTCAAATGACTTTGAATCTAGTGAAAAAAGAAACGGATAGGTATCTATGCAGTTTTTTTTTAAATATATGTACAACTACATATTTCAATTTTTATTAAACTGTTAGTTTTAAGAAAAAAAACTTGTACATATAATTCAAATTGATCAATTTAAAGGTACATATTGTATTTGATATTTTTGTTGTACTTATTTTATATAATGATTAGGCAAAATTAATTGAGACTGTACTGTACCTATTAATGATTATTATAATTTTTAAAATTGTTACTAAATTATGAAATATTGTATTTTTTGATAAAATTCACTAAAACAAAATCACACTGGTTCCAACTAATTTTGCACAATCTATATACTATTTTTGTACATATTCAATTTACATAATATACCTATCGGTCAGTACCTAGTAATTTTTTTATTTATAACCTTTTTAGACTATAAAAATTAGTTATATTTGCTCAAATTTTATGTTTTGCCATTATAGGTATCCTATTTTTATATTTTTAAGTTCATTTATATGTATTTAACTAAATTGGATTAAATTGTAAATCCAAAGTATGTATATTTTTTAGTTTTTCCTATTTAAATCGGAATATTTGATATTAGCAAAAGAGTTTGCTCAATCAAAATCATTGTAATGTATGTGAGGTTGGATTTTTTGACCAGGGAATTTGTCCATTAGTCGATTCCAATCATTGTAATATACTCATATTTAGAAAATATATACAGCATTTTGTTAAGAAATATATTTCTATACACTAAATGACAAACATATCATGACATTGTCAATTAAATGATACATAATTACATGCGCACCCTGTATAATAAGGACAAATTTTGTATGTTAAGATAACTATTTTATAGCGTTGCTTTTAAAATTTGACAGTTGACAGTGTACATCTGACATTTCATGTTTGACATACACAATTTTGTCGCTAGTTTTTTTAAAAAGTGATGTTCTTTAGTTGAATGGTATTTTGTTTACATGTGAAGAAACCCCTCGTAAAAAATACAGTGTATTTTTGAAAATATTAAACTTTTTTGTTTCACTTACCGGTGATATTTTTCCTGAAGATTTCTACGCCAGATATACTCTAACAACATTGCACAACGCTGCGTTATTTTAATTTTAAAATTCTTAGTCCTTTATAGTTTTTTAATATAATTATAATGACAAACACAATGTATTGACATCTACACATACAAATGTCAACATTTCATACCAATATGGCGAACGTGGTGTTACTTATATCGCGTAATGTAATGTTCACCCCTTTTAACTTCCCTTATAAATACAGTATTTATAAAAATACACTGCATGTTTTACCATGTCCTCTTGGACCATTAGAACCTTCTAGATATCTGAATGCACATGTCTAGAATGTTTATGGGATGTATTAAAATATTTTTGAAGCTAAAGTAGAAACGAAATGAGGTTTCTTTTGAAAATATTTTTTACATCTCTTTGATGCTTATGAGTAATGTGAGAAAGCTACCAATACAAAGTTTTTCGTAGATTTTTACACATGTTATATTTAAGAATTACGATGGTTAATTAAAAAGTTTGATCATAGAAAGCACATATTAGCAACCTTGGAATTAATTTGGTCATAGGTCAGAAATTGGCGCAATACACATTACAAATAATTGCTCAATAGTCAATAATCTATCAATCGTGGTGATAATCATTGATCACCCAGTTTTTCAGAATTGCGAAACAGGTCTTCTCATTCTTATGACAAATAGAAAAGTGGTTGCAGATTTCTTAAAGAGGGATATTTGTACGCATTGATGTAACAGTGCCCTGTGGAGCCATCTCATAAAAAATGTTTCAAACTTTTAAAACAATCATTGTAAACAATAATACTTGTAAGTACATGTTTTACCTTTTATGTAATATAATTTAAAGGAATATAGGTACTATTTGAGCTTTAAAATATTATGGGTTATTTTAATATGTCCTGCACACTGATTCAAATCATATAGATGAAACATGATTTTGTTATTAGTGACATATTTATCATAGTTTTAATCCAAGTAAATTCGTCAATAAATTAAAAGCTCTTATGGATTTACCAAAATATTATTATTTAAGACATCATAATACATTTTTAATTGGATGTCACTGTATGATTCACTTCTGCCAGGTAAAAACCAGAGAAGTCGAATGCCGCAAACCCGTCAAGTCCTGATATAACTTTAGACCGTTATATTTAAACGAAAAATGTCAGATATGTCACATAATTTGAGTTTTTACACTTACCTGGTAGTAGTGTTTATTTCCGACTTTTATGTTTTTTTGCCTTACTTATGAAGTAATAGATGTGCCTTTTATACACTGTAATGATAGTAAAAATGTAGCCAAGTACTATTTATTGTATTTATATAAAATTTTGTAGTGTAATTAAATAAAAAATAATATTATATATTATGGCTTTTTTTTATTTAGTCCAGATTATATTAATATCTTCTGTAAAGTACAATGATCAACTGGACGGAAGAACAACCTGGTCACGCAAAAGTCACCTTGTATACCTACAGGTGGATCCAAAACCCATGGATATTCAGGAGTAGGTACCCAGCTAGCACATAACGTTGCCAAGCCTTTCGGCGATGTTGTTTTAAGGGAACGTAATAACATTTCTATACAACGTAAATGCAACGTTCATGAGCAGTTGTTGAGGGAAATCAAAACCTCGCAAAACTTCTATATGTTACTTACGTATTTAACCTACCTGTTATGATAACACAACGTAATATAGTATATTACATTACGATTGTGGAAAGTGACATTTTTCACACGAGTGAGAAATATTGTCCCCAGATAACAATTATACATTCTTAGTATATACTTTTTAAGAATACACATATGCTGAGAATATACTGTATTTGCATTTGGTACATTCTCAGAATATGCTAAGCATATACTACGTGACGTTGTTTATATGTGCTATGCAGATGCTGAGAATGTACTTCAAGTATGTGTACAGTATGCAACAGGTATCTACTTTAATTTGATAGTACGTTCTAAGTATATGCTAAGTATTTAAATATAGCATATGCTAGGCATATACTAGACACCTTAATACAGGATGTTTAATTAATATTGAATATTAAAGAATAAGTGTATATGAGTCTTTATTTCAAAAAATTCATACTTATTTTTATTACAAATACTATCTTTGGCCTTAACCAATCAATAATTTTATTGTATCAATGGCTTGAGTTTCATTTGCTTGATTCCATTGGATCTTCATTGAACCTAAAAAATAAAAAAAAATAACAAACTTGGTACATATACAAATTATGCTAATGGGATATTTTTAATATTATTTGTCGAACATAAAACATTAAAAATTGTACATGGCATTCCACTAACAAAAACAAGAGTTACATTAATGATTATGATGTTTACTGAAAGTTTAAATATATTTTTGTTAATTACTTTCCACCATTTTGTAGTTTTCGTCCTCCTTTAGCTAACTTTTCTAGTTCTTCCAGGTCAATATCTGACCTTACAGGATTTTTTCATAGAAAGTGTGTATGTAATTCTGGTAACACTGTATTTTAGTTTCAATCCACCATTAGTAGTATTAACTATATTAATAAATTCACACTGGCAATTAATATTTGGGATATCCTGTATTCTAACGTCACTTATAAGTCCTAAAAACTATAAATATAGTAAAATTTGTTTATTTTCATATAGAACATACGATGCAATTAATTTTTATTAATTGACTTTACCTCTTACAAACAAACGATATCAAAAAAATTTGTAGGAATTGTAGGTTAGGTTATGTTATTCTTCTTCTTTTCTTCTATTTTAGTTTGAGAATGTTTTTTGGCCTAAACATTCAACATTAGTGCGTTTGGTAACGAATTATTAGATCGGCATCTGGGAAAAATTCATATAGATATGTATATAAACTTGTTTTTACATGTATTTGGTGTTAATTTTTACCTGCAAGCTTTTAGAACATTCTCAGAATATGAGGTACATGCTGGGTATATGACTTTTAGTATCTTCTAAGAATGTCCTGTTATAGCACGTGCTCAGTATATACTTTTTGGAATATACTTTTAAGGCACGTACTCAGTATACACTTTCTACAATATACTTTCAAAGTATATTCTAGGTATGTTCTAAGAACATTCTAAAAGGATATACTAAAAAGAACTTAAACAGAACGTTCTTGGTATATTCATAGAACATTGATGTTATGTGGGTCTCACGAGGCACAAGTCGAGTGCGACTATCACACGAGTGTGGAAAATCACTTTTCACACAAGTGATGTACAATATTTTTCCTACGACCACAAAATAATTTCATCAAAAAATGTAAAACCAGGTTATTATTATAATAATTAAAATGTATTTAAAAAAATAATCAACAATAATTGTATTTATTCAAATTTCATATTTTTCGACACAAAAATAAAAAACAAAAAAAAATCAGCAACCCCCAAGTTTTGAACGCGGGCCCGTGGACCCGTCGTGTAAGCCAAAGTTCAAATTGCAACTACCCTACAACCTGAGCTAATGGGTCTTATGTCAAATGTATTTTTATTTCGATTTTAAATTTAAACAGAATGAAAAGCCAAAATAATGAGATGTATGTAGTTATTTTAAAAT